ATATTTTTATATATATATATAAAATAAGATACCCAGAGGCACTGGTTTACATTAGGGCTTAATTTCCAGCTAAATCAAAAATCAAATCCAGGCATTTTGAATGCCTAAGGGGTACAAAAGCAGCACCCAAAATCATTAACTTTCGCACCTTTTATAATATATCCCAAACCGGTCAGATTTGTTTTTCAAAATTTTGTAGTAAAATAAAAGTGCTCTTTGAGGAAAATCTATGCAATTAAACAGCAGATGCTTAACCCCTGAAAAATAGAGGCTTATAACAGAAGTGCTGATAGACCCTTAACCATAGCATCATTAGCAGCAGGTGCTGCTAGAGTTATTAGTTTTCTAAATAGTTTTAACGTAAACAGTATTCTTAAGCTCTAAGTGTAGCGTAATGGTTGGGATTTGCTCTTTAATGCTTTTTACTAGAAAGATACAGCTCATTTAAAATAGCTGGTAGATACAGAAAGCATAAATATACAGTAAGTTTAGACACTGATTGTACTAAATGCAACAATACAAAGAAGCAAACGGGAACACAAATGGTAACACAATAAAACTGTATTACATTTGTGCTTCAAATATTACAATACATTATATACAATAGTCCAAAATAAACATCTCATGCCAAATGACACAAAAAGAAACAAAAAAACCCAAACAAACCGAAAACCCCAAGAGCAAGCAAAAAAGAATCCAGCTGTATGTACAGTACCTTTTTAATTAACATCCAACTCTGAACTGGAGCAATTTTCACTACATACAGATGCAGTCCGCCTTTTATTTCACGCAACCATTCTGTCTCCCTATATCTATGCTATTCAGTAGGTTCCGGTGTCATTTCTTATATACATGTTGAGCAAAAAAGATAAAAGAACATAGTGCTTTGTATTCTTAATGATGTGGCGTCAGATCAGCGAACCTGGGGTGCATAACCTTCTTTCATTAAACCCTCCTCATAGTCTGTCTGGCACAGAATCATGTTGTTCTTCAGGAAAAATTTGTCTCCAACGCAAAATCTGAAATTACAATAATAAAGGGGAAAACAAAAAAAGAAGGTAGTTTCAGGATGTATGATGTGACACGCTCTTACACGTAAAGATAGTACAAGTATTTTGTTTTACTGACCGCACAGCTCACACCTCTGCTTTCTGCAGCACACACGGACACGTATGCACGTATGTGGAAGCCCAGCAGAAGAATCGCTCTGGTACCAGAATTAATCCTGTGCTTTTGACAAAACCTAGTGCATTCAGGCTCTTTAGCTTCCCCAGCCAAAGACTTCATTCAAAGCCCACCAAAGACTGTGAGAGCCTTGGATCAGGTCAGTAGCACATAAATAAAAGGGAATAAATATCCCAGGCTACTGAGCTGAGTAAAAAGTAAGGGTCCTGCTTTCACGCAAACCAGAAGGAAAACAAAGTGATCCCATGCCCTAGGAAGCTCATCTGAGATATGTTCCCTAAGTTTTGTGCAGGCATACCCATAAGAATTTCTTATTATGTTCCAGTTGGGTGTTTTAGTAGAATTGATTTAAACCGGTGCTTCTGAGAACTGTCTCTAGCATATACACAACTTTAAATATATTGTGGTGCAAACCAGAGATGCACAGGCAGGCATGCAGAGAAACCTCTTCTTTCCTGTAGGAGGTGGTTATAAATTTAGGTCCTCAGCTAACGGCTCTCTCTCTCATGGTATCAGTATACCTACTTTGTTATACTATTATGCGCACCAGAATCTGTTTGCTACAAAAAGCTGCTGATATTTTATTTGATTTTTCTCTGATGAGTAGGAAAATCATGTAACGTCAATGCTCCTGGCTGGCTGGCTTTAAACTTCAAGTAAAGTAGGATTTCTCAGCTTAGCAGTGTGCTTGAATATAAGAAGGCTCTTCACTAACACCCCCCTCAACCCTTCTCCCAGACAAAGCCAATCCTGAAGATACTTGGGGAGCAAGTGAATAGGGCCAAGGCATAGAAAAAGGAGTTTCCCTAGTGACTGCCTTGGCAGGGTTTCGTGCCTTTGTTTATAGTGAATTAGCCAGCTATAAAATATATTGGGAGGCACTACTCACATTATTCCAATTAAAATGAAAGAAAGTAACCTAAATGAACCCCTTAACACTGATGTGAATAAATGAAACCAGTTTCTACCAGCTAATTATGGATCTTGCTACATAAAGTATTGTTTAATGTGTAATGGATTATAATGTCCTTTTTTGTATAATTTCCAAATGGTGACATCTTGGACACAATTAGGGTCAGATATAAATGCTTGTGTTGTTTACGGTAGATTTAACAACAGAGTAGCTATGGGAATAGCTGTATATGTATTTAATTGTAACAATTTAACCTTCAAAGAGTGGAGCTTGCTGTAGTTGACCCAGTAAAACTACGTAAAGGGCACAGGTTGACCTGCCTGACCTCTGATAGTGGTCTCCCTTTATCAGATAGTCAATTTCTAATGATGTTCAAGCAGAAATCTTGGTGAATTGTCACAGATTAAATTATGTATTGAAAGCAGTCCTTTAATGTTTTGTGAAGTTGGAGGTTTAAATGAGTAGCGGTTGGACTGATTTACATTTGTGAAGATTGGAATGCTAGACAAACAGTGAACCCATTTATTTTCCAACTGGGTAGCTTTGGAAATTTATCCTTATGCTGGCTAGATAGATAGAGGGAAAATAGTGTAATAAAAAAAGTGGATTGAAAAGAATTAGCTCTGCTCTTAAAGGAAAATTGGTTTGTTTATTTGTGGACTTTTTTTTCCCCCATAGGATTACTGCCTGTTGATGATGATGATTGAATTATGGAATAATCCCAAAATCTTTAAGTTATTTATGATCAAGACTCTTTTACGGAATTTACAGGTTCCTGTTATCCTTCCCACCCCAATCCTGGTATATTAGGCTACTTACAGCAGACAAGTATTTTGAGTAGGTGTGATGAAATGCAGAATTCTTGAAACAAACAAGTTCTTTTTCAGTTTTTCTAGTTGCTACCCTTTGTGTTTTAGTCCATCGACAACAGTGTCGACAAAAATTATTTTGTGCATCCTACCAGATTACCTAAAGGAGTCTTAACTAGTGCTAATATGTAAAAGTGTTTCTTTTTCTAAGAAGTCACTTTAAAAAAAAAAAAGTCTAAAGAAGATAGGGATTAATGTGGACCAAAGCAGGGGAAGTGAGGTGGTGTGACCAATTGGTCACTGCATTACAGTTACCTCGAGGGTTACTGATGGGGACTGAACGGGGGATGCCCGGTCAGCCCGTGCCCACCACATCAGAGGGCGATTGCGTAGCAGGCAGCCCTCCCTTCAGGCACCTGTGGGAGACACAACCACCCCTGCCCACCCAGCAGAAAGCACTGCCTCTGAATTGTGAACGTTATTCAGCTACATATTCCTTTGTATTCCAGCATAATACAGAGCTCAGCAGAGTAATTTGTTTAAAATACTTAGTAAATAACAATGATGCTTCTGAAGTGCAATTTATTTGCCCAGCGATACTTTCACAAGTGACTTCTTGCAACACCACTTGCATCAAACGGATGCTGAAAGATTTTGTTTCTCAGCCTGCAGAGAAGTGCCACGGTTTGAATTAAACTATGCCAGCTACACAAGGGAGTCGGGATGCCTCTCCCAATAAAAAGTGTCAATGCCTTTTGCTTTTGCTATGTTAATATGTCGAGCCAGAAATGCTCTACCTATGTCTACATGGCTTTTGACAGCTTTATGCATGAGTGGCTTTAAACATACACAGTTCCACAAATCATTTACCTTCCAACTGTATAGCTGTCTTGCGGAGAGGCTGCCAGTGCCCTGTCTAGATACGCTTGGCTGTGCGATAACCTGTGGGATGAGGGTCTGTCTGCATGGGGAGGCACCCTCTGGGTTCTTCTGGGGCTGTGTTTGCACATTGGGGGAGACCCCCCTCTCCACGTCTTGGGGGAAAACCCGTTACTTGCAATACTTATGGTAAAAATTCTGCAACTGTTTTCTTGTTGTGCAAATTCAGTGACTTTGGCAAAGGCTGACAGTGAGGCTTGCATGTGCCCATGGAGATTAAATGTGTGAATTATGCGCTTATTGGGTGGCTAAAATGTAAGCACCAGGTGAAAAAACACAGAAACGTAGCATGCTAGCTCCCAAGTACAATGAGACAAGGCAAGTAAGAGGCTGAAGTATAACTAATTCTGTCCATCAATGCTTTCAACCTTATTTGACTCTCAAAAGCAGATTTAGCTTTTTCTGAAGTCAAAGAGCTAAATATTGTAATGACTTCAGATTGGTTTTGCACACTCCAGGATTTAAACCTGGCTCAGCTTTGAAAGGGTAAGTGAAAGCCCAGCCTTCCACCTCTAGCAAGTGTTGGTTTTGTTGGTTTTTTTTTTAATGGAATTGGCCTAAGATGTAAATCAGGGCACACTTTGGACATGTATATCAAATTAAGTCACGGAGCATATTGAGATGCCATTGGGTTAGGAGTATATAATGAGGCAAGACTATTACTCTTCCAGCAGGCAGATGGTAGTCTTCAGCCTTCCCTAAAACCTTCACCCAATTTATTTAATAGGCGTGCAAGATGAACAGGGAAAAAGTACAATAGGCTGCATTAACATGGCAGATTGGACTTACCACCATAAAGTGATAATACTACTTCTGACGTGACTGTGACATTACTAGAATGACCATTATAATTAACCTACATCCCAGAACTCCTGTCATGTTTTACAATGGCAAAAGTAAAGCCATTCATATTAGAAAATGACCTCTGCTAGCTCCTTGTTTGGAAGGGGAAGGTGTGCCTAGACTAATCACAAGAAGTATAAAACTTCCACTTTGAGAAATAACCATTTTGTTTTTGAGAACAGATATTTAAGGAGATCTCACAGCTGTCTGTCATATTTTCTAATGTGCAGGGCGTGTGTCAAGGTACAGAAGACTTAAGAAAGCAAGAGAAATGTTACTGTGAACAAAGATGGTTGTGTGTTAAGTGCCTCCTCTGGTAACGTCAGATCTTTGTTGCTGTAGAAAGAAAAAAAAATCTGGAAGCATTTAATTGAATTCCTTTAGGGTAAAGAAAATTCAGACTTACCACACCCATCCCCTCTGCTTTGTGCATTCAGTGATGTAACTTGTCTTTTTGCTTTTCCTTCTTTCCTCATTTTTTTAAGCTCCTTTGAGTTTCCAGTATAACTCAAATTAATGTTAATCTATACACATCACTAAGAGAACAAAGCCACTTTGTTACATCACAGTTCATCAGTTGACATCTATGGTTTACTAATTCTAGGGTTCCATCAAAATGTGCACTTATTGTCAAAGGCTGGAAAGTGGGAGCTGTGCCTGGGTTTGTACATTTTTACCAGTACAATGTAGTATATACACACAGTTCAACTTACAATGATAAACCTCAACTTGAGGTATTAGTTTACTATTTTGTTAAAAGCAGGTATGGAAATTGTGTTAATTTTTATTCCAAATTTAGAGGCACTTGATATAAATTCTGAAGACCTGAATACTGCTTATTTTCAAAATGACCACTCATGCAAAAACTGAATGTTGGTGTTTGAAATAAGGATGACCCTGGCATTGCATACCCTCCACCCGGCGCAACAGAGAACAAAGGCGTCATTGTGTGAGCATTTTACAGTTTATACTGGAGGTAAGTGTTTACAGCCACATCAGGAGAGCGATTTGAATGAGCGGGTAACTGTTTTCAGTCCAGTTCCCATTAAGAGAAAGGCGATTTCAGATAGAAGGACAAAACAGTTGATTTAAACACCCCTTAGGGATAGCAGATGGGGGTTTTAAACCATACCCAGAGTTGACTTTGAATGGCAAAGAGAGAATACCGTACAAGTATGGAACAAGCTGCTAAAGCAGCCGACAGAGAGTGAAAGGAAGGACACGGAAACTCCGGAATGTGGGAAAGCCGGAGGCAGATTGACATCATTGCTGTAGTCAAAAGTGTCAAGCAAAGATACAGCTGAGCCCACTCGCAAGATTTTCCACCCCATTTTGCTAGTCACACACATGCAACCTGACAAAGTGTGAAAGGCACTGTTTACAGTGTCTGTTTACAAGTTTATTTTTCCAGTGGTTTCCCGGTTTTATTTCCCTTTAAATTTCCTGCAGAAATTAACTATATTGAGGCTACTGCCAACCTGACGTGAAGTGTTTCTGAGGAGAAGTTTACTATGTTTACAGAGAAGAAAGGGGAGGACTCACACCGTTAAGATGACTGTTACTAAGCTCTGCAAGTATTTAGGAGACGTAGAAACTTTAAATTAGGAGTAAGCTGGGCAGAGACACGAAAGATAAGGGGATGCTAAAACCTTTAGGCTAGGAGCATAGCTTAATATTCACAAAATCCCTACAGCTTTAAGCATCAGTATCAAGAAAAAAACGTGGAAAATCTGTCAAAACCTGTCTGGATGGAGCAATTGGATCCTAGAGCTGAATAGCTTTACGAGAGGGAAAATACGAGACAGCGTCTATTTGACACCAGAGGACTAGCCTTGGTGGACCAGGAGATCTCCTTCAGTCCTGTCTATGTCTACAGTCCTGTCTACAGTCTGTCCTAGGATCCAGTATGTAAGACAATGCGTTTTTCTTCTCACACTGAAAAGTCAGCCTTCAGGAGGCTCACAAAAGGGGACAGGCACATTATGAGTTAGTTCAGGGATGGAGTTTACGACTGGAACAAAAGTCCTCTGAAGAGGATCTAACTATCATCTACACTGAGACTGGAGCTGGATGGTGAGTTGTTGATACTCAAAAACAATAAAGCAAACAGTGCAGTTGTACATAAAAACAGAAAAATGACCAAATCTTTCACAAAAAGCACTAGGCAAAACCAGGCAGGCCCCCCTCTCTCTCTCTCTCACTGGGCCGAGATCAACTATTTAAAAGGCAGGAATATGAGGGTCATGGAATAACAAGCCCAAAGAACAGGCTGCCCCAAGGATCACGGTGATGTGAGTTAATATCATTATTAGCTAGCTTGGAAGGCTGAAGGGACTGGAAGGAGCAACCAGTCACAGACCGTCAGAAGAAATTCAGTGTTGGCAAAGACAAAGTAATGCAAACTGAAGAAACAATTTAGTCTACTCATGAATAATGCATGTATTCTGTAAGGAAAAAACCTAAATGGTAGATGATAAGTGAAAATCTGAAATATGGAACCAAACAGAGAGCATTATATACTCTGCAGTCGTACTCCAGATATGTCGTACTTTTATTGTCATAAAGAATAACCCAAAGGACTTAAAATTCAATGAGGGAAGAGAATGTAAAGGTGGGGAATAAGGTCAAATGTACAGATCTTGCAACAGCTGTTGAGCCTTGTGACCTCCATTGGTAATTTTTGGATATTGCTGATGTGTTTGTGAATGAAAATATTCTCTTCGATAAATAAATCAATCTGACATTAGGAATAGTGGCTGGAGTTAAAGGAAAGAGCAGATTAAGAAACCCCTCAATAGCACTATTTTGCATACAAAGGGGCAGCATGGAATAAAGAAAGAAAATTAAACTGCTATCTTATTCTCACTCAGAATTTGCTGTTTGGTTTTGATTAGCTTAACTAGAGGAAGAAAAAAAGGATCCTGAGAAGGGCAACAGAAATTATTAATGGCATGGTGACTGACAAGATTATTCAGTTTAAAAGAAAAGAAAGAAAGGTTTCATAGCAGTTATAAAAAAACCTCAAAAACTGGTGATAGGTCAGGCATCTAGCATTTCTGGGTTTTATTGTTATAAAAGTGATGAAAATCAAAATATTTAAAGCTATTTATAAATAAGAGAATGTAGTCAGTGAGATGCTTTGCTACAAGAACCACAGAAGAGCTACATTGGAGAATCCACAAAATAGGATTTATTATAAAAACAACAAAGTTAATTCTTCAGAGTGCCACTAGCCCCAAATTCTGAGGAAGAAAGGTACCCTACAGGCAGCCTGTTTTATTAGGCTCTGTGAGAGCTATTGCAATATAATCAGGATTAGGACCACTTTTAAGAATTTCTGAAATTCTTTGAAACTTCTGGAACTGCCCCGTTTGGACTAGATGAACGAGACTATATTTCAGGTAAATCCATTCTTTTGTTCCCAGCCGAAAGACTCCTGTAAGACTATTTCAGCAACTCTTTGCCCAAACTACATGCAAAGTAAAAATCAAATAAAAGACTAGACTGAAGGCTCAGGAATGACAAGGCTAAGAATTATTAAAATACCCCAGGAAAGCTCTGTTTCAGAAGCACCTCACAGCACTTTTCCAGGGGGATCAGTGGTCCTAGGGCACAGCTTCAAAGTGAAATTCTACATTAGTTCATACTTGTAATGGTAAAAGTGGAATATTAAGAATAATCACAACAGCTTTGCTTTTGGGGGGAAAGAAAAGAGGAAGTTCACTTCCTCAGATCCAAGACTGCTAACTATGATGAAAATCTTTTGCACTCAGGGTAACAAACATTGTCTGCTTTGCTTGACTGATGAAGATTAGCTGACTTCTTACATTAAAGAAGTTTGTCTTGTATGGGCTGAAGTGACAAGACAATAACTAAGTGCTAATTGTGCATAACCAACACTAAAGATATGCAGTCCCATTATGGCATGTAATAAATGAAGCGAACAACAGAAATATATTAGGCACTTTAATAATGATACTAGAACGGTGGTTTGAAAAAAATAGGGATGTGAAGGGTTTAAGAAACGAACCTAGGAGTGTGCATGTGTCTTACTTAAGTGAGTACCACAGGATGCTCTGCCTGCTTTGCTCAGAATACAGCCTTAGTTCTGTGGCAAGACAAAATTGATATAGGACTTTAAATAGCATTAGATCCTATAATTACTTTGCATTATTATATAGTTTAAGCAGTGGTTATTACTTGCCTGGTATTTTAATTTCCCATGCAACATGATGAAAAAGGTCAATTTGGCTTTTTCTAAAGAGCGTAATTGTAGTGCGCTACACTTATTAGCAGCTGTACATTTTATGGTTCTTTAGGGATGTTTGACTTTTAAATGACTACAGTGTTACAAAACAATACAATGTAGGACAAGGTGAGTAGCGGAGCTTATTTAGAGCTGTATCTAACTTTGTTGTGTAAGACTCCTATCTTCCAATTTTTTTGTTACTTCCCTAGAAACACATCCTGTGTGTCTTCCCACCTGAAAATGAAAAAAACCTATGATGCTATAAAACTCTAAATAGGATCATGAAATAACTGAAGAACTGAAAAATAATAGGTACATTAAAGAGTGGACATAATTGACTCTCTCATTTCCTAGATCTCATAGAAGTCACCAAAAAAGCTGCTAGCAGCTCTCGTGGAGTCAGGAACGGAGCCCTCAGTGAAACTGCTGATGGCATTTGGCCACCTTACAGGATGTACTTGCTGTAACTTCATCTGTATCCACCTCTGAAAAATTCAGTTGTTGCAATTTTACCATTTTTGACAATTGTTCTGCAACTATATGTGGCTGATATGGGTGCTACTTCAGAACAAAGTGTCTGGTTTGGATCCTTGGGTTTCTTATAACTTGCAGTTAGGCACAGGAAGTCCCACGCTGCTACAGAGAAAACGGTGGGAACAACATATTTTAAATTTAAATGATTACAACTCTGGCAACAGGAAGAAACAACATGTACTTAAAAATAAATACATGTGAAGAATTAAAGTGAAATTAATATAGTAATGACAAATGGTACCGTTATGGTCTTCTGCAGAAAAGGATCTCAAAGACCTTTATAGATATTAATTAATTAAACTTGACAGCCTTTTGAAGGAAGGATGTAAAATTACTCTTTTTATTGATGTGGGATCTGAGGCACAAAAAGTTTTCTGCCCAAGGTCATGCAAGATGTTCTGTATCAGTCCCAGGTAAAGTATCCAGGTCTTAATCTCAGTCTTGGCTTTCCGCTACTGGTAGATGTTTCCTCTTCACTTAAATGTATGCCCACACCAGTGCCGAATTAGCACTTAGCTTATGGAACGGTCCCAAGAAATTCTCTTACCTCTGATTACAAAGTTGACATGCAAAACAGTCCAGGTGATAAACATTGTCCTTTGCTCTCATCACCATCTCAAAAGCAGGTATGAGCTTACTGCAGGCAGCACAGTTTCCTGTAACGCCAAATAACCTGGAGATACAGAAAAATATATTCCTCAAGATGCTTAACTGGAAAGAAAATCACTTCTTTTTTTTTCAATTATTTTTTTTTCCCCAGCAGTTGCCCGGCCTTTGGGTGACTTCCCAGTACCTCCCTTTAGAAAGGCTGATCTTGGGTGGTACAAGTCTGCCCATTTTACAATACAAAGGCATAATCCTTTTTGCCGGAGAGAGCTTTATGAAGCAGTGACAGACTAATATTGCACCTATCGTGATGTTGTGTTTTGGTTTTGTTTTTCTTTCTGCAGGTTATACTGACCTTTCTTGATAAAAGAAACATCTTGTTAAACTAAACAAAGAAATAGTAAACACATTAGGGATGTTACATAACTGTGCAGACAGAGGTCAAGCTGTTTGCATACGTGGGAAGAGTCTTCTGCTTGGATTCTGCTGTACAGACGAGAGCCACATAACCTTGGCTTTCGGTGCTATTTATTATTAAAACACACTTTAGCTAGAAAAGAAATAACACTTGAAGAAGCCAATATTCTTCGCAATTTTGACATCTAGTGCTAAAAGCTTTACCAGTATTATTAAAAGAACATTTTATGAACAAGTCATTTAAATCGTCAGAAAGCATTAGCAGTTCATGCACCTTACAACCCTATACCATAGTTATTGCTATGATTATGTTATTCAGGTAGCCCATTAAAGTAAATGAGGCTGTAAACTATATATAGTCACATCAGGAGTAGAAGTATAAAATACTGTAAGAACAATATGAAATACTGTTTTTGCCAGACATCTATATAATTTTTTTTGTGTAATTCTCTTTGTTAAAGATTTTTCAATACTTTTCAAGTGGGTGTATTACAAAAAACCCCCAAACATATATATGCATCCTTTTGTAACATAGAAGGATTATAATGAACAAGAAAAAACACGTTAGCTCTACATGGCAGCAATCTTTGAAACTAAGTTTATTTAAACTACTTAATAGTTGTGATGGATTATTAAAAGTAATGCTCTGCTTGTGCATAGCAGTTAATGCTGTTTTTAACTATGAAGCACACTTAGATGAAAACGCCACATCTGCCAGTTTTCTTTTTTTCCTCAACATCAGGCTGACAGCAGAAAAATATAATGGCTCTCAAGGGAAACACCAAATTAAAAGCGATTCTAAACTAATGAATTCAAAGGTGCTCTGTAGAAAATTCAGTTTGGTAACAGAAAAATGAACACATTTTTTTCATCACATCCTTCCATTTCACTGAATTTCATGGGTTCCCAACAAGCCCACTTAATTCCAAATCTTTTTACCTTCTGCTTCTACTTAAGGTGTGCTGCCTACATAATATGTGGCTGTTTATTTTTAAAGTTGTGACCCCTTTTCTCCTGACTGAGGTGCTGGTCACTGTGATCACTGGGAGAAGTGCTGGGACAAGGGCATCCTCATCAGCTCTTGTTAAAATGACTCAAGTCATCTTGTCCTGTTCTAGTTAAGTTCTTGGTCTAGTTCTGTTAAGTCTGATTAGTAAAATTATAGATTAGTTAAACAGATTACAAGCTGTCCTGTTTCAGTTCTATGTCCATCACGGTTATCTAAATCCCACTCAGACTTTTATTCCTATTCTGTAAGAAGGGCACAAGACTTGGTTGCCTTCCACAGTCCCTGGCTGGCTTTGCATGAGAAAAGACCACACCACCCACAGACCAAAGTGCCAGCTCTGTTTTCCTTAGCACCCATGATGAAGATGACGGTTGTTTAGTTGGGAGAGGAAAGCAAACCAGGCTGCAAAAGGTATGAAGGATAGTACTGTTATTCTGTATGGCTACAGTAAAAGGAAAGTCAGAGTTTAAGGCTCTACAACAGCGACATTCAGACACAAACGTGAGAATGGTCCCACCGCCTTCGAGCTCAGTATGGAGGCTCCAGGCAGCATGTCTGTGCTTAGGAACTTTTGGGGTGACAACTGAATACTTGGGACGCAGCTCGAACCCCTTCCACGTCCTCTTTGCAGGGGTGTGACCATGTGCGTGAGAAAGTGGAAATCCATCACGGCTGGCATTGCAGTTTGCATGTTGCAGAACTATGAAACAATTTGGGATTGTCATTCAGCACGGGGTAGGATGGAGATTTACTGCACCAGAGTCCACTAAGTGCAGATTTCTGTAGTCCTGAAACGAGAGACCCCCGTGGAAGCTGCTTCAGCTAAGCTCCAGATACATTAAAGTTTTTCAATTACATAAAAGGAAGGAGGCCTTCCTTGCTGTTAGTTCTTCCCCACCACACACAAAATAAACATGAGAGATTTATATTAGCTATTGCTAATTTTGGATAAAGCTGTTTATATGAAGAACATAGTTTTCTCCCATTAATAATAATAATAAAAACCCCACAATGCCATTTTGAAATTCTGGACATAGTTTCCCCCAATTTCAATTGCTCTCGCTCCCTGAGCATTTATCAGCTACCTGATTAGAATTTGTTTCCACACAAACCATTGATCATCAGCCTATTACTAGGCAAATGACAGTTAATTACCCACTACATTAACCACTGGGACCTGAGACCTGCTTCTGCTGCCATCAGTCAACATGATAAATGTGGCAAGTTCAGTAATGCATGGCCAGCCCTGAGCTGCCTGCTATAGTGTGAACAACCCTCAATCTCACTTCCAGGCCCAGGAAAATCTATGGCAATCTGCATAATTACAAGCTCTGGGTTAATAACAGACAAATGATTTGTTGCATCTAAACAAAGTCCTTGGAATGGGCCTGGTCTCCTGTGGCTGCCCAGGCTGCTGTTGTGCCACCAGTGTGCTTCCCGCTACATCGTGCACAAAACAGATCTCCGACGCTGTATCCTTCCAATTTGTTGCCCTCCAATTTATGGATTCTGCATATGTGATTTTTAATCATTAAAGAACTCTTGAAGCAATATTATCTTAATTATTCTCTGCTGTAACCAGGGAATTAGGCTTCAGATAAAATTTTCTTCTTCTGTGCACTTTCCTTGCCTCACTGGAGGCTCCATCAGTTTTCATCTACACCTGGACTCTGAAATTCTAATGATGAATTATTGCCCCTTTTCCTAAGAGGGCGAACCTTACAAGGGAACATTTTACTGAACTGTCAGCTCACAGACTGAGTGCGGAGATGCGGAAATCTGATCTAATTTACTGCAAAACGATGCATTTGTTAGACTTTCTCCTAGGTTTCGTCCAAGGATCAAGAGATCAGTCACGAGCCACCTTCATGTACTCCTTTGTACAGGAGTATGTGCACTTGACTCTCCCTATGCCGTTTTGCTTTCCTCCCCTCTTCAAAACTGTTACGCAAATAAGTTTCTAAAACACATGAATTTTACTACTGGAGAGAAGAAATAGTTTGCTGACAGGCTCTTAGTTGAAGCTGACGCTCCAAGCTACGGTCTCTTGCTTTGTCTGTTTTACCAAAGGAGCAGCAAGGATTTAATTTTTACTAGTAATCGCAGCTGCCTAGTACCATTCTGTGCTTTATTTACCATTTTCTCTGTGGCAAAAGAATGCTTCAACTACTCACGTCTACTTCCAGGTAGTTAGACTATGCCCCAGATAGCTCAGCAGATTAGAAAGCTGATCCTTACTCATTTCGTCTTAGGAAGAAAGGATAAGAAAATTTAAAAGTACCCAGACAGATCTCTTTTCTTGATATTCTGAACCAGCATCTGAAATTTTATATTTGGGTCATACATACCACAACAGAGATTAGAACAGTCAGCCATGGCAAAAGCTTTCATTCTTAATGGATTTGACCAGTACAGAACATCGTGCACAGAGGTAAAAAATGAACGACATGCGGAAGCCCTTCTACAAACAAACTCAAACCTGACATTTTGAGCAGCAAAAAGCGTGATTAAGCACCAGGCTATTGATTCTACTTTGGAAGGTTTACTAAACAGAAACCTGAAGGTTAAGTACTGAGTGATGAGAAAAGGGAAAAAGTTGGGAGGAGAAAGACAAGAAAAAGAGAGGAAAGGAAGAGTGGAAATATACACAAAAGAGCTGAAAGTTTGACTAAACTATACTTATGAGGCATGTGCTTTCTAGAGGGACCCAGTTTAACCACATTGACACCAATTTCCACCTACTCTTACAGACATTGGTTGAGGCCCCAGGTAAGAAGGGGTGACCTTGTTCTCATCATGACATTAGAAACGCCCCATCACACAAGTACACTGTTAGGCAGAACTGCATCCATGCTGAGATGAAACTGATTTTGGCCTTAATTCCCTGTCAAATTACAGGGAACTTTCACAAGACTTAGGATCTAACATTGTTGGTTACAGCTGCTCCCACAAGCTTCCTCCATTTTTGCTCTTCTTGTCTGACAGCTATCTTCTGTAAGATCCATTGATTTGCGACCAACAGCACTCTTGCCTGCTTTAATTCTGTATTAAAATGTTGCTCGATTTGGATAAGATGTCTGGGTTTCCAGCAGGAGTGCAAAATGTCTGCACAATGGAAAACGAGGGAGAAAAACCATCTTGAGATTCAGGAATGACAAAGACACTGAATGGCAGTTCTCCTGTGGCACAGTAATTACGGATAGTTTCACATGGCTTCAAATTATTTTTCCCCTCATTCTCACTACTGGGTTAACTAGGTTCATTAGGGAAAAAATATATATGGGAGCTGAGTTCTAAACCTGCCTTCACCACTAACTGAGTGGGTGACCCTGGCAACTCACTTAATTTTGGTCTCAATTTATTCGTTACAAGGAGGTGAGACCTAATCTTCACATTGCAATATCTCTGCTAGATACTGTTTCTATAAAAAATTGAAATGCTACTTTCAAACCTCTGTTCTTCACAGTGCATGAGGGATCAAAATAATACACACACACTGTTTTAAATATAATCAGACATTTACCGAAATAGACAATCAGCTTTTATTTTTTCCTAGTAGGTTTGTGTATTATTCAGGATTTCAATTCAAGCTGTATACACTGAAAGGCAGAATTTGGCCCTTGGCAAATATTTCAGACAGC